CATATTGTGATAGTCAACTAATGACTGTGGGTACATTTGCGCAAATAGAATTATAAACATAGTCTGACAACGGGAATGTTTCTTTAAGCCTAGCACGTAAACCATAAATTATCAAGCGATTTAAATGAATAATTGTGTTTTTATTGCACAGATTATGCCTCCTTTCCCTCACTAGCTCGGCTCGGAAGCCTGGGAAATCTATTAAGGCGACGCCATAGATCATCCCATCCGCCACAGCGTGTATGTAGATCGGCCAGCTCATTTGAGAAATATTGAATCGGTTACAGTAAAGTAAGCCCCTGGATTGAGTCAAATGTAAAAATCCAAGCATGTCAGGGGAGCTGTCAGTGTGCGCCGTGATGACAGATGGGGTTGGGTCTCTGTTTTAGTGAGGGGTGGTAAAAAGACGAATTATTAGTTCTGGAGGGGGGGATAGAAGCGCAGAGAGAGAGGGAGTTGGAGACAATTGGATCAGATCTGTCAGCTGATAAGAGCAATCAGTTAATTAAGGAAGGCTTGAGACGATGGAAAGTGTTATTTCCTCCCAGAGATGGGGTCAGTGAGGGGTCAAGAGTGTGACCTCTGACCTCAGGCAAGAGAAGAGCGAGACACCAGTCAGTCAGTTATTAATTCGTGCCACTTCACGCCTCTTACTTTCGCTACATGAGGCATTATTCGTCTCCAAATGCAGTGAATTTTACAGGAAAACTAAAATCAAAGTGAATATATACAAAATTAATTTCACGTCTAATCAAACGGCATGTTACTTCTTTCGGGTTATTAGACAGATAGAGTCATGCTCAGAAAAAAAAAAATTATTAGATTGAGCACAAATACATAAAACACGAATTAAATGCAATATTACAATGTTCATAACTATGACAGCTTGAAGCAGAAGTCTGAGTAGCTGGTTGGCAGTTCTGCTTTTAATGTTGCTATGACAAGCTGAGGCCTGCGCTTCAAAACGTTCGGGTTGAAGATGTAAGAAATCTCTGCGGTTCAGATAGTGACGGTATTTTCAATGTCCTCACTATCCTCTCAATACCACAGTGCTGTGAGGATGCAGACAGGGGAGGATGTTTTCATCAGGTCAGGTTATCTACGCGCTTTATTTCACCCTGATGCTGTTGTTGTGACCTCCAGAAGAGTTAGTGGTCTTCTCCTTCATTTTGTCCACGTTCACTGTACTTTGAACCATCATTCTCTTGAAATCCCAAGAATCCCTCCTTTCACTGTAGTATCATCTCCAGATTTAACGATCAGATTTTCGGATGATCAAAATGAAAAAGAAAGTGTTTGCGTCGTTTATAGTTTCATCTGCACTGCCTCCAGGTTTCTCCTGACACGACTGTTTTTATTTTCTGCTTTTTGTCTCGGGAACATCAGACGTGACCCCCCTCTGCTGCTGACCCTTGGCTCAACCCCATCCACACTCTGAAATGCTAAGGTGTGATGTTCTGCCCCATTCCCTGATAATTTTTTATGGTCTTCAAGCCTCGCTGTTTACGGCTCTCCAGTTTGATAAAAGCACACGAAGAAGTAAGAGTCCCAACCAAGCTTCAAAGAAGCCGAGGCAGGAATGTGAGCATTTGTTGTTTGAGTTATTATCCAACACCAGCATCAATTTATATTTACATGAAGAATCAGTCTGTGAATGAGGCAGAATAAGATGCTGTGGTGCTTTACGGAAATGTTCCCAACATTGTAGTTGCTCTCTGAGGGACAAGCTGCATTCACTGATCTTAAATTTGAAGGTTGCAAGGAGGACAAAGTTTATTTTGACATGAAAAACGGAAGGAGATAAACGTCCATTTTCTTATTTTATGTGCTTAAATCTGATCAGATTTGCACAACAATTTGACTTTTTTTGACTTTTTAAAAAAAATGTCTGCAAAGTTTAATACACTTGGTTCGCATTCTGGTCCTCAAAAACGAATCAGTTCAACATTTTGTTTAATATAAAAATTGCAAGTGTGGATACAACTTGACTTGTGAGTTACAACCATAAATTTAAGATGAAGATTTTGGAGGGGCCTAGCAAATAGGTTTAGTAGTAATCGTGATGTCATCTGACTTTTCTCATGCGTCTTTTAGTCTAAGCTTAAATTATTACTGCTAAAATATTGCATTTGAAGGTTCTGGAGAACTTTGGGTAAGTTATAGTGGTTTTTTTTGCAAAGTTGGAGTGAAGTTTGAATGTGCTGCTGTGGTGTCAGAAGAGGACAGTGACATAAAATATTCTGTTCTTCCATATCATAAATTGTGTACGATGTTGATTGATACCAGAAAGACATTGCTTGACAGATAAGTATTTAAAGAAAATCCAGATGACAGACTGAAAAAGATCAAATATGGTCACAATCAATAGGAAGTTGTCGTACTCAGTCATACTCCAGTTACTTCCCTGGACTGAAAACTCTTAAATCTGCCTCATAAAGTCATGTTAAATTTAAACTCCAAAATACTAGACGGATGGATTTGCTTTCATATGCACAAGGGGAGCTTGAATACAGACACCTTCTTTTCCAGCTTCAATTTTAAAATGTATTCCAACCATTAAGAACTTTTTACTGTGTTACCTTAAAGTCATTTTGTCTTTTTACTTTAAATTTATTTATTTTTTTTACATTTTTAGCCATTTTTTTGTGATATCTCAAATATCTATTCAACTTATTTGATTTTATGGTAATTTAAAAAGAAAGGTATGTCTGCTTTGCTTTGAATTAAAGCGGTTTAATTAAGTCACAGGATCTCCTCCTCCCTGATTCTTCGGGCCCGTGAGTCAGCTGGCCTCTCTGCCCCTTGGTTTCTCCCTGTGTGGGAGGCTGCTGTGTTGGCCTGAGTGGCTGGGAAAGTCCCGTGATTTATGGCCCTTTGCAGGCCTGATTGCCTCTCTGATGATGGAGCCAAAGGTAACCAGGGCCGCTCGCTCCAATCCACTTTGTGCTTGGCAAATCAAGTTTAATTCATTTGAGATTTAAGGCCTCTTTGCAGCCATTGCACTATATTTCACATGCTGTTGGTGCTTAAAAAGGTTAAAAAAAATATATATATATATATACTTGTCATGTTTCCTTTCAAACTTTGCAAAAAAAATACAAAAAGACAAAAAAAAAAAAATGTAGGTCTCCATTTTCAGTCTGTAAAGAAAGAACTGCTGTGGATTAATATTTACCTGGTGAGGTGAGTGTTTGCCCTGGCCAAGAGTCCCAGATTGCTGGATCAACAAAAATCTAAGATGCAGCAGCAGCAAACATGCAAACAGAACACGGGACCAAAGCCCACATTGATGGCTGAATCATTATGAGGCCCATTCTGAGAGGTTATGCACTTGTCCCAGTCTACATCAGGGGCCCGGGCGGCTCGAGCACATTAAAATCAGCCAACCTTATATATGAGGACGGACTCACACAATGCGCACACAGCACCAGCAGCAGGGCAGTAACTCAAGGCCAAAGGAGGAGGGTTATTTTTATCATGGGCAAAGGTGCCAAATCATGTTGGTATGAAGGGGGCTATATAAATGCAAATTGTATCGGTGGGCTATTAGTCCTGGAAAAGGTTTGTATGTAAATGCCCCTATAGGACTACAGCGGCGCACTCATCCAGGTCAGATTAGCTGGGCTTGTGGCAAATGTGCTGCTAACAGACATAAGCGAGAAAGAGAAAGGGAATGCGATTGCCTTGTGGTAAATCGTGGAGAACAAGGTGAGAATTTGAGTAATTCAATGGCCAAGATGTTTCTGTACGATTTACCGCACAGGTGAGAAAGATGTCTTGAAACTAGCTTCTTTGTGGACACCAAGGCTAAGGGGTTTTCACGCTGAATCTCTCTAAGACGTTAAGCTTTCTGCACCAAACCAGGAGCTTAACTGTGAAACTGAAGGGACAGTTTGAGAAAGCAAAACATTAACAAGCACGTTTATCGGATTCAATGGCGGAAATTTGCTTTATGTTTGTGAATAAATAGAAACGGTTTCATGCTGAAAATCTGAAAAACTTTATAATCATGAAAACTAAATCAGCCATTATAATAAATAAATAAATAAATAAATACCATCCCGCTGATGCACCGATTGAAAACAGAGGATGTGATCACTGGAAATTATGACGTGTGGTGGTGCAACGTCGCCCTCTAGTGTTCACAAATTAGTCATACCAGCTTCAACAGGTTCTTTAAAACTCAAAAGTGAATCTTTATTTATAAAACTACTAAAGGAAATTCTTGCTTGGACCTACAAAACAATGTTACAAATGTCTAAACAAAACTGCACTTATGTATACAGTACAATAAGGAGGTCTGAGACAGCATGTGACATCTTCCTTGGTAGTATATTGGCATTTTTTTTACTGGTAAGATTATGTTTTGTAAGAAACAAAAACATATTGGCAAGAGTAACAATTTAAAAAACTAACACACTCTGCTGCCGTCGCATAACGTTCTCAAAATTACTGCATAGCTCGAGTATAAAGTGCTTATGTAAGTTGGTCACCACTGATATTGGTCATCTCTTCCGAAACTTTATATTTCTGCAAACCCAGGTCATCCCGTCCTGTTTGATAAAGGTGAGAAAAGAACCAAAATTATTCATTATTACTGGTGTCCAGAACCTTGTCAAAGTAAAACTTTTTCAGTTTGTCACATTAATCTCAATTGTTTTTAATCAACTCTTAACTTTGGCAAACATAAAGTAATGCATCTTTTGTGATGTGAAAGAAAATAAAAGGCCCTCAGTTTTAAAAAATGAAATCTTAATCCTCACAGCATGTTGTTGCTACTGCCATGGCTTAACGTGCAGTGTTAGTTTTCCTCTGCACAAAACGTTTTGAATGCATTTATAATTTGGTCTCATCTAACCAGAGCGACTTCTTGCATGTTTCTTTTCTGGATCCATGATTTAATTCATTTTGCCCAGAAAAATATGTTGAAACCTGAACATTGTTTGCTCATAATTCCAGTTCACATTTAGCTCTAACAAAGACATTCAAATCTGACTATCCTCTTTTAGTCACAGCATTCGTGGAAGTCTTTTCTCTCTTAATCTTTCACTTTTTAACTCGAAATGTATGTTGTTTAGACAAAACAGGCTATTCACCAAAAAATTTCCTCATGGGGGTTGGATATTGTTTTAAAAACAAACTGTCTTTTATCCTCTTGACCCCTGAGCCTCACACTCTAAGTAAAATAAAATAATGGGGTTATGTTTTAATGCAATTAGGAGTATATCACTAAAAGTTGCAATAAAAGTAGGAGGTTGCATTTGCAATCCTGCATGATCTTGAGAAAATTTCATGAGACCAGCACTTCCAAGAGCGATCAGGTAAAAAAGTAGCGTAGGCTGAGGCAAGACCAATACTTTGAAAATGTGTAAGACCAAGGCCAGTTCTGAGTACACTTCAGAAGTGTTTGTAAAAGTGCGAAGCAGCAAGATGAGGACTACATTGCTGCAACAGGCGGCATTGCAGTAGTTCTATTTAACAACAGGGTATTGATATCAGTAAATTGTAAATACAGGCCAAACTGGTTGATAGAAAGCTACCGTGAATAATTGTATATGATTAACAGAACTCGCCATATTTCCTCTTATTGCTATGACGTCAAAGAAGCGCACATCCCTATTCCGGGTACAAAAACTGACCGCAAAACACAGTTGTTGTTACTCAACAGCTCAATCCGTCTCGACCTCTGTTTATTTGTGTTTGCATGGCACACTGTATTTACCTGCACTCCTTCTGCAGTGAGTGCTGAGCAGGCCTGCACCTGCCACATGCGATCCCGGATCGTGTGCAGGTTGAGACTCTCCGCCAGCTCCGATGCCGGAGAGGCTGTCATCAGGTCCTGCTTGTTGGCAAACACCAGCAACGGCACAGCTGCAAGCTTTTCTTCTTCTAGCAACTCGGCAAGCTCCTGAGGGTAAAAGAAAAAATGGAAATAGATATGCTTTGGTGAACGTCTTGGCATATGTTGTAATTGCATAAAGTTTTTGCCAACTAGGCCCACTCCTTAAATAAAATAGTTTAAGTTTGTACTTCCAGGATGGCCTATACCTAATCTAAATTTCTATTTGTATTGCACTTTTTTTTCAAGCAGAAGTAAATTTATGTCTCACCAAACTTGTCTCTTCGAATCTTTTCCTGTCTGAGCTGTCAATCACATAGATCTGCAATCCAGAAAAGGAACACATTAAAGAGGCATTATACAAACTTACCTCTCAGTCAGCAGACTGAAGAAGTATTCTAAAGTAAATCCTGGCTGAGAAGCTTGTACAACAACAATCATGTTTTCAGCTTCTTTTAAGATCGTTTCCACCAAGAACAAGAAAAGTTGAACCACAACCAACATTAGAGATGGTGATAGTAGCATCAAGATGTGGGCTGTTTTGCTGCCAGCAACACCGGTGCCTTGCACAAAGTGAATGACATAATGGAGAAGTACGGCTACATCTAAATTATTCAACTTCTCCAATCCAACAAACAGCTGGATGGTTGAAAATTGGACATAATTTGAAAGGTGGTCGATGCAGGAAACTTGCTTTGACGTTTCCAAAGCAAGTCCGATTAAGCTCTTTGGAGACTATAGTTCTTGATATCTGAAGTGTATTTAGATATCAAGAACTATACCGGAAGCTTGTTGAAGGGTCCAAAAAGCTTAAGCTAAAAAGCAACTTGCTATGGTATGATTAAACAAACATTAGTAGTGGTGACTGTGTATTTTTCACCTTGGGTAGACCAGAGAAAGTCTACATTGAATAAAATATTTTGTAATATTCTGTATGAATATTTCAGCCTGAAAAAAAGAAAGAAACTGAGTAAATTGATCCTTAAAAGCCCAAAATTAAGATGACATTCATGTCCATGATTAGTGTATGTAAACTTCTGACCAGCAGAAGACAGAATTACTTTTTTCTATTGCTAGACCAGTGGTTCTTAACCTGGGTTCGATCGAACCCCAGGGGTTCGATGAGTCCGTCTCAGGGGTTCGGCGGAGCCTCTGCCGCGGAAGTAAAGTCGTGATGACGCCCCGTTTTGCCATCACTTGCTCCAGAGGATCACGTTACATTGCTTAGCCAATCAGTGCTGCGGGAAGGAGTTCCACTCTCAGCATGGATTGCGGGGTTGGTACTGCCTCTAGTGGCGTGGGGGAGGTAATACAACTAATATAATTACATTAATAAATCAGAATACAGCAAATTATTTTCTGTGTCGGGGGGTGGGGGAGTTCGGTGAATGCGCATATGAAACTGGGGGCTTCGGTACCTCAAAAAAGGTTAAGAACCACTGTGCTAGAGTTTTCGCCGTATGAGCGCATCAGACTGAACCTACCAGTACATCAGTGTTCTCAAAATAATTCCTCCAGTAAGGACGAATCTTGCGTTGCCCTCCAATGTCCCAAACGTTTAATTTGAACCCGGAAGACTGCACACTCTTTATATTGAAGCCCTGGTGAAATCCAACATAGATTAAGTTTAATGGGTAGCTCAGCCTCTCGCTAAGGAGGTGAACTGATGCATGACCTGACTGTTTGACTAGAAAATGAAGTAGTGGGTTCTCACAATTTGACATAAACAGAGTGTTTCTGTGTGTGTGTGTGTGTATCACTGTACTTGTGTGGGGGTGATGTGGCTGATGTCTTCAGCTGCCAGCTGTTTGAGCAGAGTGGTCTTGCCGGCATTGTCCAACCCTAACAGCAGTAAGCGCACCTCCTGCTCTGGTGACTGCTTTAGTCTCCGGAGAATAGACAGCAGGCCCTGCAGGAGGATCACGGCGAATATTAGAGACGGTTAAACCCCAGTGGGATGAGAGTTAATGAGATGACTTAGCTGTATCTTGCAAACTTTGAATAACCTCAAAAGCCAGTCTGGAAAAAATCAACTCACTCAACCAACAGCTAAAAACATCTACAGCGTGTTTGGAATAGATATTTTTGGATCCATTAGAACTGTCCAATTAATCAAAGGATGCTATTTAATTCCGCATTCTGTTTTCAAGTCTCCGATTGGAAGGTTTAACAAAAGCCTGAATGCCAAGTGGGAAAGTCTAAGATTTCTTTCTGAAACCTGTTATCAAAATCCAATAGGGTGTTGTGCACAGAAAACTAAGAGACATCTGCGGTTCAAATCGTTTATTATTCTTGTTAATGCTTCCACACTCAACTAAACTAGTAAAAATCCTGATGCATTGTTAGGAAGAACAACGTACAGAGAAAACTGTTGTTAGTTTGCTTCGCTAATAGCAGCTAGCCAGGTCACTGATCAAATCAATAAATATACCAAACTGGGGGTTTGAACTTGAAGCATTGAACATGAAGCACATTAAGATAGTTTAAGATCTTATTTCAAGAAAGGCAATTCAACCACCAGTGGTACTAGTAGCATAGGATGAGAACCATGGATGAAGAGAGCAAAGGATTTAGCTGTTAGTCTCTAAAGTCGTCTATAAATGTACCAGAAGCTCAAAGACGCTGTGCAGTTGACTGAGATTAGGCATCTATAGAAGGCAGCATGCTAGGCTTTGATTATAGCAGAGCAATTTGCTGCTGCAGAAATGCTTGGTAATATGTGGAATAAATGTACTAATATGTTCAGAAGATATTTGTATGCATCAGTATTATAAAAGCTATTAATTTTGCTAATATATGTTTTTTTTTAAAGTTTTGACGGTGGTTTTATCAGTTTGTAGAAATCTAATCCGGTTAACTAGACTTTTATCGCTGCAGCTTTGACTTTACAGTCACAGTCACTTAATCAGATAAGTATTATTTTGTTAGTTTATCCAGAGGGATATCTGATACAATTTACCAAACACATTCTTGAACTAAAGCTAGCACTGAGAATGGATAAAAGCCCCAAGTGTTTATGTCGGGCCAACAGAATCAACTCTGGTCTCATCAACCTTACCAAGACATATTTAGAACTCCAATAAATACCGCAGAACTAAAATCAGCCCATAGCTATTAGAAACATGAGTTTGGCAGCCCGGGTTTTAAATATCTGCTCCTGCTGATAAGAACTGAGATAACTCACCATGGTGTCCACGGGTCCTTTTGCGGTTGTTGCTCAGTCTGAGTGGATTAACATCTTCCCCACCATGTGTCTCGGCTGAACAGCTGCCAAGTTTTTGTTTCCAGGGACACTCTGACGTCTGCGTAAACAAAATGAAAAAGAATCTTCCTTTAAGAAATGTAGTTTCTTGTATTCTCATTATTTAGTGTTTCCTGACTGTACAACAACTGTCGTTCTGCTTCTTTCAATTGAGTCTATTTATATCACACCACATTATAGCTAATGTAGTCTCAAAGAACTTTAGCAGACTCATTTTATGTGTAGGAATATAAAAATAAATTTAGTTTGAATTTAATCAAACCAATCCACTTCAGTCCAATACACAGATCAAACACAACTGATTATTACATAATAATATCTTGCTTAAAGCATAAGCATATATTGCTTAATTTACACAAAAAAAGGTGTACCACATTCGGATGTTACAGTTCTAAACACAGGCACTGGGATGTTTACTTCATGCATAACCTTTGTAAGAACTGCTTAGAGTTTGGGCTCAGGTTATGTAAAAACAATGCAATGTTTTTACAAGCCCATTTACCTTAAAGAGGGAACTCAAAAGTCCATTACTGCAACAGGGACTCTCTCAAATGTCTAAATAGCAGTAAGGACAAAAAATTGTGCTTTCAAATTGGGTTTTTGACTAGGTTTCACTTTCGTTAAAAGAGTTATATGGAAACAAAACAAACATGTTAACATAATATTTTTGCATTATGTAATTTTAATGAGTTGAGAAGGCTGCCAAAACTATATCTATTATATTACTTAATGATAGTAGTATATGAATTATTATAATTATGTTTATTATTTATAATTATTATTGTAATAATGTTATTATAGTATTAATAGTTTTAATAGCATTTGTTTATTTGATATTTAGAAATGATTTGGTCTGTTATTATTTCTGCTCTGATTGTTTCCAATAATCAACTATTTGACAATATCTCAGTTTTTGTTATTTATTTATTTATTTATTTATTTATCATTTATTTATATTCATTATAAAATATAAAAGATATCTGAACTATTATGCTTTAATCCATGTCTAACGTTTATGTGATCACATTTACTGGATGGGAATTTTACAATATATATTTTAAGACAGTGACGTTTCTTTTTTTATGCAAGCTGTTTCCTTGTTGAAAAGGTTTTATAACACAAACAACGTTCAATTTTACTTTTTCTATCTTTTGAAGGTATGTTGTGCATATTGAATTTCCCCACTGGCACAACAAAAGAATTGCTCTATCCTGTTTTATTTCTTCTTTTTAGAGTTTAATTGACTTTAGAGTTTACCTACAGTGGTAATATATTATACAGAAACTTAGATCTATTTCGTAAAATCTTGTTTTCAATTTGGCTTTTCAAACACTTACACACAGCGCCCCCTACAGTTTAATACCCGTTCCAGATTCATATCCGTACTGGGGAGTGTTTCTCGGTCAAACAACAAAAACATGTCTGAGTGTGACAGGCTGAACCGTTAGTTGGTAGCTTTCAGCCACCCGCTGTCACTGCTGCTGGTCGTCGATCCGACCGATTGCTTTATGGTTCCTGTCGTGTTCACGGCAGATAACCCAGAGAGATGCCACAGAAAGCACTGGGATCTATTGTAGGTCTTCTTTGTACCGGGACCTGTCTGGTGCAGGTAAGCCCGTATTGTGAGCTCACCCTGTCGGCGTAAGCTTCCAGCCCAGACCGCTGCTCCGGGGCTTGGTGAAGGCCTGCTTGCGATTCTTTTTTTGTCTCCTCCACAAAGGAAACAGGGCACGGTTCGCTTTCTGTTTGCCGTGGGTGACGTCAGTTAGCAAAAGTTTCCCATCATATTTTAAGAGTTATTGTAAAAACTAGAATTGTTTTCTATCTAAAGTGCATTCACAATGGTATTTCAATGGCCCATTTCGAGAGTTAGAACCCAAGGTGTTAAGATTAACGCTAGCGGTTTGGCTAACGGGTACCCGGCGAATGGACATATTTATTCATAGCTGCTGATGTTAGCTTGGCAGACTGAGTAGGCAACTTATTAACTGAACATTTCACCTTAAATAAATGTTTTAACTTAGTACAAGCAATTTGATAAGAAAGAGACCTCATTCAAAGGTACTCTACAATATAAATATATTTGAAACATCTATGTATAGTTAAACAATAGTTGTGACAGTGAAGGAATTTCGTTATCGCGTATTTTCTAAAAATCTTATGAGCATAAAAAAATAAAGCCAGACTAAAATATTTTAACCCTCGGGCCTTTTTAAAGCAACTATTATGTATTAATTTGGCCTTTAGCTAAACGAAACTAATGTCACTCAATTTATTTGCAATTTTAAATAGCATTTTTTTTCATGGTTTAGCTGTGACTTTTATTTAACAACCTGCTGGCGAAAGTGTTAGCATTTTTGGATTTACCACAAGAAAGTACATTTCAAATACTTAAATGTACATTTGACAGACATGTCCAACTTTATAGAAAGTGACATTGAAGTGACAACTAGAAAGGACAAGCTTGCTGGCCTTGTATTTGTTTACTTTTCTGCTCGGATATTTACTGTCTTCCTCCTGTGTACTGAAGGGAAAGGAGTTTTGTTCGGGGGTAAATAATGAACAGTACCGCTGTGAGATGGGTTACTGCTGTGGGGAGACAGAATGCTGCACGTACTACTACGAACTATGGTGTAAGTACAAATGTGTAGTGTGCGCACACTTTTTAATGTGTGACTACTAAATGATAAAAAAGAATACACGTTTTTTTTTGCCAATGTTGGTTCTCTGGAGGGACTATTACATTGAATATAGAACCTGCTTTGTGATTGAATCAGGCGCTTTCAAGGTTCCTTTTCAGTCTGAAAAAGTATGGAGTTTAGTGTTTTTAAGGTCTGGACAAGTATGGAAAAATATTTGTATTTCCAGAAATTTCTCTATATCCCATTTTCTGAAAGTAGTCCTGCTTGTTCAAACCATCCATCAGTCTATTCATTGTCCTTGATTGCACCTTTATTAATCTCCATTACTTCACATGCACTCTTTTTTTTCACTATCTATCCTTACATTATATTGGCTAACTATCAATCCATTATCATTCTGTTCATTCAGAAGATGAAAGTCCATCTTTCATCTTTCTATTTTTTCACTCCTTTATCTTCACATATTTAGTTTTTGGTATGATCCACATTTAAAGCCAGACACCCCAGGAAGGTTAAAGTACATTTATAAAATTAAATTAATCTAAAAAGAATTGAGAACACATTTACATTATATCGTATTACAAGGATTGCTTTCCTGGACGGTCCGGAAAAGTTAATAAAATTATTACGTCTCACCTGATCTTTTTTCAACTTTGGATAGATGTGAAAAAAAAAAAAAAAGTTATAATAAAAATCTAGGAGTTTCTATGCTTTGTGCCTGTGCCATTATTAAAAAAATGACATTTTAAATTTCTAACAAAAGAAAAAAATAAGGGGTGTTTTAAATTGATTTCAGTTCCCTCTCTTTAATTTCTTACAGTAAAATTAAAGATGTTTTACTCCTCATTAGTTGTTTTAGCTATGCATAACCCTGTACGGTAGCGGTGCTAAGATTAAACTGAGACTGCTTCTTCCCTCAGGGTTCTGGTTGGTATGGACTCTAATCATAATGCTCAGTTGCTGTTGTGCCTACCGACACCGGAGAGTTAAAATGCGTCTACAACAGGAGCAACGGCAACGTGAGATCAGCCTAATGGCCTATCAGGGTGCTTCCAGCTCCTTCATTACACCGCCACCTCTCAATTTAAGTAAGATTGTGATTTATTTGTGGTTTAGAATGTTTGTGTCAAACACGCTGCCTTGCAAAAGTAAATACTGCACACCCCTTCTAAGTTTTTCCACATTTTGTCATGTTACAACTGCAAACGTAATTGAATTGAATTCTTTTGTGAATATCTATGGTAGAACAACACAAAGCAGTGCATAACTGTACGTGGAAGAAAACCATATGGCATGGTATTCCACACTTGTTACAAATAAAGATCAGAAAAGTGTGGAATGTATTTGTATTTGTTACTTTTCAGATTTTCAACCCTACACGATGCTTAATGTTTGCTTCAAGCCTCGAAAAGGAACACAGTGTAGATAAGATCAAAATTTTAATTTTAATAATATGCAAAATACAAGGTGTGTGAGGCGAGGCTAACACTAACACCGTACAGAACCCTAAACACATCAACCTCACCTTGAATAAAAACAAAATCATATAATTTTCCTTCCACTTTACAATTATACACTGCATGTTGGTTTTTGCAAAAAGTCCTAATGAATACACTGAATTTTGTGGTTGAAGGATGACAAAAATATCAAAAAGTTGAAAGGCTGTTAATACTTTTGCAAGGAATTATTGTAATTTCAGTTTTTTGTTGCCTCACATGCCCAAAGTTTATATCTCACAATTAATGTGCTTATTATTTCTGTTTCAGTGTATGCGTCTGTTGATTTTTTTTTCTTTGCCAAAAGATCTTCTTTCACATTTACCTCTGTATACTGAACACAGATCATGAGATACAGACTTGTAGTCAAGTAATATTAAATCTCTTTCGTGACAAACTTTCCTGATGTACTCTACTTTGACTACACCTTAATTCCCGTATCTCGACATACTTTTATCAGTTCCGATACCAGAGGTCGTCGTTTTCTCTTGATTTTTCCTGAGCCAAAACCTGATATTTATCCCGGTCTTGTCGCACTCGACTGCAAATCTTTGTGTTTTGAAGACTTGTGGCTGAGCTGAAACTGCAGCAGTGACTGGCCAGCAGCAGAGACGTCGCCTTAATGTCAGTGGTCACTCTAGGCCTTGGCAGCAAAAAGGATATCATGTCCAATAATATCACAAGTGGCAGTTGGACAAGCTTCCCGTTTGTCGGGGTGTAAAAACCCATAGCGAGCAAGCTTGATTTCAAGTCAAGAATGACAACACAACTCCAACCTGCGTGCATAGGTAGACAGTGACTCACACAGAGACACTCTCGATGTCTAGCAGGCCTTCCGTCCGTCGTCCAGTAAAAATGGAGACAACTCATCTTTTAAAAAAACACCGCTTTATCAGATTGTAATAGTATCCACAATAAGTTTAATGAAAACCTCAAACACTTATAATGCTCTTGTTGTTGCTCTGTTGGTAAGCCGTAATTGAGTTATTTCTTGCACAGTGTTCTTTGCATCTTGCTACAAACAAGTCAAAGCAGCATTTTTTCTGAAAGTGATGAGTGGCACTCTATTAAAGTATTAACCAATTAAGTTACAAAGCCAGACCCTTCATCTTTTTTGTTTTTGTTTGTTTTGCTACGTGAGCAATCTTGGGTAACTAAATTTCTTTCCCCCATCGGTGTGGGGAAATTCACAGGGATCACCACCATCTTTGGCTGTCGTAAACAGCCGACTGACGCACTGGACCTGATGGGGGAGGGGCGCGTTGAACTCTTTGCTGAACACAACCTGAGGGAATGCACTTTGCTGCAGTAAAAGAAAACAAAAATCTGCAAATGCATTATGACGGAAAATTTCAGTAGATTTGAAAAGGAATTATCTGCAACCAGCTTTAACCTGAAAAGCAACTGATGTTTGACCAGGACATAGGTAAAGGTGCAAAATTTGCAAAACAAACAATAGATGCAAAAACAAAACAAATGAGCAAGCATTATTAATGTCTCTTTGCTTGGCATTCATGTGAAGCATAAACCCTAGAAAAATGACCAGTACATCCAGCTGCTGGAAAAAAAAAATGTATAATTTCCCTATGAAATTGTAATTAGATCATTTTGTCAATGTTATTGACAAAATGCCTGTCGTTATCTATCTATATATATATATATATATATATATATATATATATATACTCACTTCCAGTTTTAAAGGGAGATGTGGTTACAAATACTTTCTTGCTAAAATGTGCTTTTAAAACTGTGCCTATGCTTTGAAAAACTATCAAAAGTTAGATTTATTTGTCCTTTTCTTTATTTATTGCTTTTATAGGAGGCTAGCTCAGATCAATTTATATCCTTTTCCTTTTTAATTCCTCTTCTTTTGACCAACGTAGTGAAGGACTAAACTCCTACAGCTTCTTGTTTTATGATCCTCAGGGTTCTGGAATGACTGCAAGCTTCCCGACTACGAAGAAGTCGTGGGTCACCCCCCGACCCCGCCTCCCCCGTACTCTGAAAACCCTCCCGAGTCAGCTCCGGCTGCCGCCCCTCAAATAGGCCAGACGGTTTCCGTCTCCGTACCACGGATGTTCCCTGACGCAGAGCCAGCGGCACACTGTCAGGCATCGGGCGTCTCGTCAGACGAGGGGGCAATGTCACAAGCTGACCAACCACAGAGCCGGGGAGAGGAGAGCGTAGATGTTTTGCCGTCTGGGGCGGCGGCGGCAGCGGAGGAGGGGGAAGATGAGGAGGACGACGAGCTCCTAACCCGACGCCGGCACGTGACCGGCGACTCGGGGATTGAGGTGTGCGTTTGCCAGCTGGACGTGGACGAGGGCTCGGGGCCGGAGGAGGAATGCGACGAGGAAAACAGGATGTGCAAAGGTGCCGGCAGGGACTGCTGCTCCGGACGCCCGCAGGAGACCTTCAGGCAGAAGGAGTGCGCCTCGGAGCTGCCCGGCCAGTCCGCCAACACCAGCACTGGAGACCACATGGTGTGATCCACAGCATCAACAACTAGCAAACTAATGCAGCTTCCAGCTTCACACAGGGCCATAACTATCGCCATCGTCATTGGCACGGGGGGGAATGGCTACGCTTTATTTCCCTGAACTAATATTTGCGAAATGATGATGATAACTAATCAGTTCTGGCTTTTGTTTAGGATTGATACAATAACGATGTGGGCAAAGCACGGCTTATTCCCTATACTTCTCTTAGCGGGGGGCTGGAGGGGAAGATCCAGCAAACGTTCTGCTTCTCTGTCGGGTATATTTCTACCTTCTGTTCGGCGTGAGAACGTCACTGAGTGGCGAAAAAGAAAGGAAGCGGCCATTTTGGACTGAAGGCAGAAGTGACCGTTTCTCTCGCCGCCACCTGCAGCGCTGCTTTCACGTTTCTGTTCCAAAGCCCTCGTAGGTCAGAACATTTCCGCCCTGCCCTCCCAACTGAGGCTTGAAGCGTGCCGCAAAACACGGCAAAGCGACGTTTCTCGGGCCTCCCCCAAGACTGAACACGTTTGAGGGAAGAACAAACATTTTCAGCAATCAGCTTGATCTTACAAAAATTAGAATCAGATTATGTTGGGTTTTTTTTTTTTCTTCTTCCCAAAGCCGTTTAATGCGTTTAAGTACTGAGTGCTTGCTGTGAAATCTAGGCCACAGCTGCACAGTGATGTCATCTATGAGGTCATCGCCGCCCATGTTGGGGCGGAGGGGCTGAAAACACTTGAGCGGAGAAGAGGTCCGCTTCTTGTGTTTTAAATGTCACGCTGTTTTTTTTTCTTTCTTTCTTTCTTCTCTTTTGATATCATAATGTTGTCACCAGGGCTGCTTAGTATCTAATTAGAATGATGAAAGTGGTGCTCGGCATTGTAGTGATTTATTGATTGTATGCATGTATGCATGCGATCTTCCCCTACTTCAGTTCCCAGCTGCAGTAAATCCCTTGTACTAACATGGGCAGGTCTTTAGTCAAAAAAAGGTCTTGAGGGGAGCTCTATGTTTATTTAACTTGTTAGCGCTGAGGGAATTTTTATCACTCAGCATGTTGTTGTTTTTTTTTATGTCAGTACTGAAGGATGTAGTTGCTCTTTGATTCTTTGCTTTTTCATCACATAACCAGCTCTGCTTTAGTAAATGCCACAGGTGTCCTGATTCCTTGCAGCGGATTTCCTGGATGCGGTTGTGTACGGCTGACAGTGCAGTGACGAAATTATGAGATATGCTTTTGAGATCGGTGAGGTAAAAATTCAAAGCACTGATTTTGATGTTTTTTTTTGTTTTGTTTTGTTTTTTTCTTTTTGCACGTGGCATGACTTGGTGTTTTATATTCGAGTGAATTAGCATATTCCGTCATTTTTAATACTTGCTCTGCTCATCACGTCCAACGGTCTTACCCTGCGGTGGCCGAGGAACTCAGTTTAAATATTTTTAGGGGTAAAGCGGTGGAGCGATTCCTTTTTCGATGTCTTGATGTAGTTTTCTTGATGAGTGCTAACTAGGTAGCTGGTGCTGTCGTGGGTTTCTGTTCTTTCTAGAGCTGCTGTCCGTGTGAGGGATTTGCAGTGGCATTTTTCCACTGGCAGCAGAGGGCCAGTACATTAGCAAGCTGAGATGGTTGCAAGCTCTGCTCGGCAGTCGATTTGGTCTTGGCACGACCACAGAAATGCTTGCAATGAACTGCATGTTCCGCACTAATGCATGCGGCTTGTTTTCCCGAACTGTAGTTTGTCCGCTTGGAATATTACCCAAAAAAAAAAAAAAACATGCGACAGATGGGGAAAGCCGCGGCGTAATGAAGTTCCTACTCTGACATTCTTCAAGTTATTGTCAGGAAATAAACCTTAAAAGAATGAAGTTTGGGAAAAAAGAAAAAAAAGATCAAGCTTTTTATACATCGGCTCTGATTGTGTGTAAAAACTCAGGTCACCTCACAGGATAAGTGCACGCATGCACCCACAATGCAATGCTCTAAAGCTGCTTCTTTGGCAATATCAGTGGCTTTAATATTCCAACCGGGCATGGGCGGCTAGGAGATTATCATGGTGTATATAATGTTTTAAGAATATTTACACACACCCAAAAAAAAAAACACCTGCTAAGTTTAGAAGTGAAAAAGCATAGCAGCTCTTTCCTTACCAACTGAAAAGCAGTGTGCAGCAACAAGTGGGGGAGGGGTTTTAATTGATCACAATACGATTGGAAAAGCTGCACAAAACTTGAGCCTTGATCTCGATAGCTGGTCCATGCCTATTTGTTTGGGGTTTTTTTAAATGGGTTCAGTGCCTGAATCAGACAACACCAGTCCGACTTTTGTACAAGAAGTTTACACCATGGCTTCATAACGAGGAGGAACTCAAACACTTCAGTGTTGCTTGAGAAAAAAAAAAGTTCTCTTATTAGTTCCACACAAAACACATAAAGTCATTTTCTTTCTGCACATCAGAATGAAAATGTTTCCTCTCTTCATTGGCCTGCAGCAGCTTTTTTTTTTTTTCTCTAGGTTGTAGTTGGTTAGGTTAGAGTGCTGCTGCGGCTAGAATGTAGCAGAGGAACACGGCAGAACGTGTCGGGACAGAACGATGCACACCACGCACCGCGGGCTGAAACTATCAAAATGTTCCCGTTCCTTTTGTTGCGATAGTGCTGCGTCACCTAACAGGTGCTTGAACGTGAAGCCATTCTGACATGACCTTTGCAGAGGAGTGGTTGCAATGTGAGCATGCCTGCACACCCCTAAGCAGATTTCATAAACAGTGTTTTATTTTATTTTTTTCTTGACAGCATACCTTAAGCTGCCTTGTTGCATTTCTATAGAGCCGATGTCTTGATTAGAGCTGCACAGATAATATATATAACCTCTGTATGTGGAAACTGGTGTAATACTGCCTTATTAGAGTAGATGTAGTCGTCTTTTTTTTTTTTTTTTATAAATCGTAATATTTGTGCAAGCATGGTTGTATTAGAGAGCAAAGGAGCACTGTTGTGTCAGTAGAAAGTAGCATTTAATCTCGTTCTGGAAACGTTCGCAGGCTCTTTGCTTAGAGGATGTGGCGTACATTTAAAAGCCACCGAACTGAAGTGGTTTTGTTGCTGAGAAGTGGTTGTTGAATTTAAAAAAATACTGTGTGTAATTATAGCTGTGGCACTGATGAGATGTGTTCACACCAGATTTGTTGTGCTCAGTTTTGTTTTTTGCTTTTCTGTGCTTTAGATTGAAGCACGAGGAAGCAAGATTGTTGCTGTTACTGTTTTATTTTTTTATTTTAATTTTATTTTATTTTTTGGAAATGACTCACCGTTGTTCACAGTGCCTTGCAAAAATATTCACATCTGCTGAAGTTTTCCATCCTCTTTCATCCAACAACCATAAATCGTATTGTGGTGTTTTATATCACAGACCAATACGAAATTGTGCATAATCCGAAGGAAAAACATGTATGGGTGTCTAATATCTAGAGACTTTTTTTTCACCGATTCTTTGCGGATTAAGTAGTGATTTTTATTCGTTTGTTGTTGTTTTTTGCCCAGACTTTAACTGGACCATTCTGTCACATGAATATGCTGTGACCTAAACCATTCCACCGGAGCTCTCGCCAGATCTTTAGTGTCGTCTTGCTGGAAGGTGAATTTCCCCCTGAACTGCCTCACTGGCCCAAAGCATCCCCACACTATGACGCTGCCACCACCTTGTTTGGCAGTGGGAACGGCACGTTCAGATCGCTGCGTCGTTTGTTTTCCACCATTCTGGTCCCACCGGACCAGAACCTCTCCTTCCACATGACCGCTGCATCTCCTGCACGGCTGGCTCCTCATAGAACCAGGTTCTGAAGCCTTTGGTGAAATTATACTCAGGTTGACTCTGTTTACAAAAGGATGTGATTTCAGAAGGTCATTGGTTGTACCCTTGATTAGAGGTATCGGAGAAAATGCATATGGATACCTCACGTTTTTCAAATCTTTTGTTTGTAAGAAAAAAAAATATATAAAATAATTTGAAGTCCTCCTTTCACTTCACAGTTATGCACTACTTTGTGTTGGTCTGTCATAAAGCATAAGGTACCTTGAGGTTTGTGGTTGCTATGCGACAAAACATGGAAAGCTTCAAGAGCTATGGATACAAGGCAAGTTGTACATGTACACATTTAATACCAGTTACAGCAGTGGAGGGCAGTGAGGTTAGGGGCTCTTTTGTAAATCCCTCCTTTATTTTTACACATTTCCCGAGACTAAGGGCTAAATATTAATCATAAATTGTCATCAGACGTATGCTCTACTGAGCGATTAATCGGTTTTGTTCTTTTATTTTTAATTTTTCTCAAACCACAGTTACAGTGATCCACTATCTGAACACAGATGCGTAAAGTGAACTTTGGTTGTTTTCCAATGTGGTGGAGCTCATATTTATATATTAACCTGTTGTATATGAACTTGTGTGTGTGTGTGTGTGTTTGTTCTTTATTTTAGGCTTTGTCCTTGCCTTCTTGTTTTGTCAACCTTAACAGAGGTGCGTGATGGTCTCTCCTCACACGTTATGTTCACACTGAAAACACACGTAACCGTCTGCATGCGTGGATGTGTGTGGAGCGTCACCGGTGGACTGTGACTCCACCCTCAGAAACTGCATTTGCTTGTTTGCCTCCGTTTGCGCCACCTTCCCGACGAAAAAAAAAAAAAAGGGGCACATCCACCCACGCAGATCTGCAAAAGGCCTTCGTCATTTCCACGCTTCGCAGGTCGTCCACGGGTCGTGCCCAAGAGGTCGCCCCGACCGTGGTCTGTTCAGTTTCACTCTCAGGGTTATTATCGTGGAAAAAGCAGAGCGACAACAGATTTCAGATCACCGTCTCTCAAAAAGCCAAAGGAAACGTTACATGATTGTCACGTGTTTTGATGTTCGCTCCCCCTCCCCTCCCCCCCTCTCCCGCCCTCCTACATCACGCATCTCTGTGAACTTTACTCAACTAGGCTATGCAAAAAAAAAAAACATAAACCTACTGTTATATGCTGCAACCCCCTTTCTCCGTCAGATGTCCATGGGCACCAGTACGAGCAATATGACTGTCAGCACTCGTGGCACTGCGCTGTACTGTAATCGATCAGTCTATGTGTATGTATTTTAAAAATAATGTACTTGTAATGCTACTGCAATGTCACGGTAACTCTGTAAGCTTCTGTATGCCGAGGGGTTTTAGTTAAAAAGCGTATGTTTCGTACCCTTCTTTTATTTTTATTTTTTTGGCCGTTTGTTGTATCTGCTGCCCAATAACTTTCCACTCTTGACTCATGGATAAACTCTGGATAAACCACATGTCAAAGCTGCGCATGCTCAAAGAGAAATGTTGAAAATGTTCTTTTTGCTGCTGCCGTTCAGAGCAGCTTTCTTCTCGTTTTTCCGTCTTTATGAACTTACAGAGAATATTTAACCGTTGCCTTTAATCCTCTCAATACAGCACCATGATTTTTCTATAATATACACATGAAAGACCTCACCATGGAACACAGTTGGCTTACATTAAACCAGCAGATTTTAGGCTAAAGGGCCATTCAAAATGAGTCCTCAACATTTAGCCGAAAGAAATATTATCTAGGTTGTCAGTGGGATTTTTTCTACAAAAACCTACAAATTATGTTTTTTTTTCCTTCTTCTAAACCATAGGTAATACCAAACACAAGGAGGTGCTGTGGTTAGGATGGGGTTTTTTTTCTTCTGTTTTTGCCAAAAATGAGAAACATGTAAATCTGAAAGGGAAGCAGCCATCTATGGAAAATCCACTCTTTCTACATTGTTGTGCTGGTAACTTTTGAAGAAGCCAAATTGAGTAAAGTGGAATACAAGAAAAAAAAAAAAGAGAGCAATGACTGAGATGAAATTGCTTTGGTTTTTGGTTACAAGTCTACTGTGTACTGTCTGGGTCATCGTTTGTATTTTATTTTTTTAATAAAACAAACATTGGCGCTCTGCTGATTGTCTGTTTTTCTTGATTTTAAATCCTCTAAATTTAACTACAAACTCTGGTTTTACTGTAATCTATGCACTGCAACTCAAAAATACCCCAAGCAGACCCAGACATCTGATTGGCTAACCTGTGTAGTATCTCAACCAATCGCCTTGTTTACAGCAGTGTGGCTACACCCACTGACTTTATGGTCAGACTAATTGACAAAATGTGATGTCCTGCAACACAGAACCATGAAAAGAAAAGAAATATAAATAGTGATATATGGACACAAATTCTCAGATTTATAATTATATATTGAAAATTTCTGAAACAAATATGTGGCATATTTATACTTTGATACTGTTTACTGACAATATGAAAAGAAATAACAGTTCCCTCCCTGATTTAATGTAATCAAAGGTACTTTTTTTAATTTTGTGAAATAGTGCTTGTGCTATTAACAAAATATACTTATTTTAAAGATACTAAAACAATAAAGTGGACATTTGCAAATATATTTTTGTCCTACAAAATGCCAAAGTGAAATACTTGGGACTAAAAAAGCAGAATTGATTTGTTATATTGAACTGTAGATAAGACACATTTTATTTAAAGAAAAAAAAACACAGAATGCAAATGAGTGTCATGGGAAATAATATGCTAGTCATCTTACAAAAAAGAATCAAACAAATATGAAGCATAAAGATGATGTGCATCAACACCAGCCTGTTGCGTCAGACCTGTATGTGCTGACAGCAAAGATATGCAACACAGACAAGAGACATGTTTGTACTCATAACAAAAGAAACGACAAACAAAAGGTCATTTTAGTGTAAGGAAAAAGAAAGACCGTCTGTAGCAGCTATGTTGCTTACATTCTTAACAAATCTCAAGCCTCTCACAGGAAAAAAAATATCTTTAATAAATATATTTAAAGTTAAATTCTCCCACATTATCTCGTAAATGCCTAAAAACCCAGGCTAGTCGTGTTCAAACTCTGCACTGGTGGAAGCCAGTAGAGATAAAATATCTTCATATCTTTTATCACATCCAACAATAAATTATTTGCCTTCAACACATATGAACATTTTAAAATGAGTTTTACTCAAAACGTAAACAGCAGTCTGGACGACATACAAGCTGAAAAACTGACATTTTCTGGCTCTAAAAAGCACTGAGAGGAGATTGTGTTGCTTCGAGAATGCAAAGCAGCACGGTCTCCTAAACAAGCAGAATATAATCATTTAACAAAATCTTGATATCACCTTTCAAAATAAAATAAAACAAAAACTTCCTTTTTTTTTTGAAATGCACAGTTTTTGCATTTTAAGAAAAATGCATGCAAACCTTAGATTTGGTACTTCAGCATGTTTTTAAGTTAAGATTCTCTTTAAATGTGAATGCATATGGGTTGGCCTCATGCACCATTTCATGAAAAGATTGTGAATTTGGAGGGTGATGAATTTAAGCATAAATGGATGCCATGAAAAATATTGTAAACAGGTTAGAATTCTGCATCAAGATATTTGCTAAATCAGCATTGAATTAAAAACAGTCAGGGGTTCTAATAGGAAGGAGCTTCAACAGACACAAGAAGAAAACTGTCACATATGAGACGGAGAAAATTAAACTTAGCGATCCAGTACATGGATCGCTAAGTGCCCATGGAACAGCTTAAGCTTTTAGCACACGTTACCATGCGATAGTACAAGGTAAGAAGGGAGGCAGTTTTGTTAAAAATCCTGACCAGAACCAAAGTTACATCAATAAACAAGTAGAAAACGCTGAAATTGGGTCCAGAATCCCTTCCTAAGCTAAGATCAAGAAACAGAGTATCCATTAATGCAACATGAAAAATGTGTTACTTAAAATTTGAGATTTATATACAATGTTACCTTCCAGACAAAATTCAGGGAAGGCACTACTAAATTTATCCAGATAATGATAAAAAAACAAAACTGTTACACTAGTTTGCAAACCATCTCAGTTTGTCATAAAAATAACCTATTTGGCCGTCATGCGTTTTTCCTCCCACACAAAATGCACCGATAGCATACAAGTCCACCTCATTTTTCTTAAACTGAAAATATGGTAACTTAAAAGTTCTCTCATAATGTTATTCTTTATCAAACCAAACTTTCAACATCAATTCAACCTTTTGTGCCTCATAACAGCTGGAAGAACCCGAACTAGATTCAATTTAAATTATATTAGATGAATTAAACAAGTTCAAAATAACTACACTAATGTAAAGTATAAATGGACGGATCTTACATAGTATTTCTCTTAAACTTTTTTGTCTTTTTCATAAAGTGCAGCAAGAAGCTTTGGAGTAAATTAAATAATAAATCAACTGTATAAATAATTAAAGTTGAACATCTTTCTCAAGCTCATAATCAAATGCAGTGCTAAAAATGTCAACTGAATGACCAAATTTTAAAATGTTTCATTTATTTACCTTTCGGGTTGGGGAAAGAATACGGCTGCATGATGTAAGGAAAACGTGAAATTCGATGGCAGTGGTGAATGACGCAATAAAGATATGAATAAGACATACAAAAATAAAATTACAGTAATAAACGTATACCACAGATAATGAGCAAACCCTTCCAGCTTCTGGACAAAATGTATTCATTATTTCCATCTCAAAAACGTTTCATTGAAAAAGCTGCTTCTGACTTTGCCGTCTTCTGAAACTTTTCATGCTAAATAAAACAACTTGTGTTACAAAACGTATAGAGGCTTCATGTATCGTACTTCAGTTACTACCTAGCATTTATTGCAGTCCAGGCAGTTCTCTCTAGTCCAGACAGAGATGTTGGGATAACAATAGATTTGCAGTGTATTGTGCAGCCCAGGGAAGACCGACATGCATTTTAAAATTCACACTTTTAACATGGTTGAAATATTGAGAAGTTAATTTAGGCAGTCATCTGGACAACATTATTACATCTAAGGAACTTATGAGTATGTGTAGTGAACATAGCTACTTAGAAGAACTACCAGAGGTGAAAAATGTAAATCCCTCCAGCTGGTTCAGAACCACTGCTGGAAAAATGGCTTCGGTTGCAGGGAAAACCTGTCCTCCTCCTTCCTCCTGTCAAACTGGGTATAAAAACCTGCGCTGCTCCGCCGCTCAGTGGCAGCGTCTTACTTCCCATCTGATCTCAGCTGGGTCGGTGGCCCACAGTAGTCATCATAATCCCTGAGCCCTTTGCGGCGTTCCTCAGTAGAAACGCTTACGCCGGCTCTCGTTCCAGTGGCTGTAGACCACCATGCCGATGACGATGAGGAAGATGCATCCCAGCATGGAGAAGAGCACAGTGAAGAAAATGGCTAATCCACTCATCCCTTCTTCATTCTGACTCACTGCGGAGAAGAGAAAAAACAACAAAGTCAATATGACAGAGAGAGAGAGGATATTAAATGATCTAAATGTGATGGAACAAATGTTTTATTTGGGTTTTTTTGTCCGCATGTCTCACATCTGAGGAGCTCCATGTTGTCCACGCTGGGGATAGTTACTACATCCTGCTCCTCCTCCTCTTCCTCCTTTTTACTCCGCAGCACCGTCAGTTGGTAAAGTTTGAGGGAAATGATGTCATGGTTATCTATCAAGTTTAGAAAAACAAAACATAAATAGTCTGTTTTAGATTTTGAGTCTTCCAAAAATTATTTAACGAGAAAAGATGAGCCAAAACCTTCCTTCTGTTTTGGTCTGTGTGTGTATTTTTACAGATTAACTGGATGAATCTCTGTTTAAATGAAGCAGAACAATTTGCAGTGGCTGATAACATTTTCAGTGCTGTTCAATGATTTACCCGACAGATCTCCGGTGATCGCTGAAGCTCCAAAATAATATCCCAGAGGCAGCCTCACTCCAGGTATGTCCAGACAGTCCCTCCACTCATGCTGACCATCGATGTCTATCATCACCTGCCCCACAGATTGCAGCCAAACAAACGCATTTTTAATTTCTGGCGTAGGCGTTCTTTAGCCGTGTCTCCTTGTCGGCGGTTTCTCACCGTGAGCCTGCGGCGGATATATCGAATGAAGAGGAACGTGTCGTGCTTTTGGTTGCGCACCATGGCGTTGCAGCCACCGAGTTCGGTGGGGCGACCGTCCCGCTCGTGGTCGTAACTAATGGTGCCGTTCCCCACCATGGCAATAACGAACGGGAAGATCCTCTTGTGGTCGAAGAGGGGGAGGAGAGAGACGACAAAGGTACTTCAGGAGAATCTGATTTAAACTCATCTCTCATCAAAAGATGTCGATGCTGATCGCTTTGAGGACGTATACGACTCAAAAAGTTGGTTGCTCTTAGGAAGCTATTTAACTGATGAAACGGCTTTTTCAATAATTTTGATGAATGGAAGGTTGGCCTGTAATTCTGCAGTAGTGATTTGTCCATATTTTTCTTTTTTTAATCAATGGTTTGATAACTGCTGTTTTAAAACCTGGGAGAAAAAAAAAAAACCCGACGAATGGGATGAGTTTACTATTTGAATCAGATCAGATGATTCAGCCAGAACTTTGAAAAGTTGTGGGTAGGATATAAAGCATGCTCCACTTTCAGTACACATTTTTTTCATTTTCCACATGAAATTCAAATATTCATTTTTATTTTAGTGAGTAGTGTTTTTTTTTTTTTTTTTAATGGGGTCATGCAAGTTGACTCCAGTCATGCACTCACATTTTGACAAACAATGATTTCTGGTCACAATACCATCATGATAGCAAAAACAAAATAAAATGCTGAGATGCATCATAAGATATGAGCAAAAACATAAAAAAGTGCAACAATCATTTGTGAATCAGCTATTTTTTTAAGGTTTTATATGAATGAAAGTAGCACAAAGACAAAAAAAAAGTTAAAAACAAAAATTTTAATTATTATTATTATTAATTTATTTATTTTTGTGTTAATGCTGACAAAATGTTTAAAGATTAGGAAACACCTAAATACTTAGTACTAAATACTTCATTTGACAAAATGCTTAACATGGCATATAACCATAATATGAAGATGAATTAACAACAAGGTCAGAAATACGGAAAATAATGCCACAAAAGTTTCTAAAGTCATCATTAGCAGTGATGTTGCTTGTATCTGTATGAAAAACAGACACAATTTCACAGTGGAAATCACAATAGGAGCTCTGAAACATTTCACAGAATCAATGTTTGGGAAAGCAATCCCTATATAGATAAGTCAGGATATTAATAATAGTGATAATAATAAAATAAAAAAATGTACCCAGGATGTAGTCTTTTCTTATCTCATTTCCTTTTCAGAATGAAAAAATATCTAAAACTGAATCTGTGATGGTCTTGTTTTTCTTGCTACTAAATAAGTATGTGCTGCCATCTAGATGCTCATTTCAGTAAAGACCTTTTTAAAATGGCATAAACCCAATGCACATCTCACATGTTAAAACATAAATGTGCAGGGCTGAGAAAAAGTATTTACACCCCGCTTACAAATTGTTTATTGTATGAAAATAAACTTTCATACAACTTTTTTTTTTAGGTTTTATGTGATAATCCAAGATAAAGTGGTGTGTCTTTGTGAAATGAAAGGAAAAGTAAAGTTGTTTTTTTTTACATATTAAAAGCTCAAGAGAGGAAAATCTGTCAAGCACTCTACTCTGCTGACCTTTTCTGAAAGCTGAATGAAAGTAGGAGCAGGACAAACATGTCAAAGATGCTCTGGCTAGATGAGACCAAACTGTTACTTTTGTAACATCACACTGAAAAAATAATAAATCATTAAAAAAAAGCTGCTAGAGGTTGCAAAATACTTGAGACTGGGATGAAGATTCACCTCCCAGCAAAACAACAACCTTAAACATACAAACACAACTACTATGAAATAGTTTTGATTGAAGCAAATTTATAAAGGCCCAGACTTGATTTCTCAAAGTTGCTCTCCATTAAAGATGACTGGACTTTATCTCTTTTTGATGTTTTTAATGTTTCTATCTTTTCTTTTTATTACTTTCTTTTTATTTCTCTTGATGCAGCAAAGTTGCTCTAAAAGTTGCATTGAAAGTCCATTAAAAATGCCAACTTTGCATTAAATTATCATAATTTACTAAATCATGCAAAGTCAGCACTTTTAATGGACTTTTAAAGCAACTTTGCAAAGTGTCATTATTTACCGAATGACACTTTATGACAACTGTCATAAGCATTCATAAAGACTTCTTATTGTTCATGACAGATGTTATGTCATGTTTATGACAGTGTCATGTCAGTCTTATGCACACCCCTTCAAATAAAGTGTTACCTTTGTTTCTTATTTAATGTTGGATATAAAACAATTTAAATGTCTTGTGAAATGTTAGAGTGAGTAAAACAGTGAGTGAACCACACAGCAAACCATGCAGGAACAAAAAATATTACAAACCAAAATGTTTTGGGAGCGACATGCAACTCTAGGATGGATTTCCATTGCAATGTTCTAAACACAGAACCCGGTTACCTGTGTGCGGGGGGTGTATCTCTTCTTCTGCGCCTGTGTCCAAATGATTGCACAAAGAACACAAGCACAGCCCCTTTACACGAATCTGCAACAACACCTTGCAAGTGTGAGGCGCTAGTTCACTGGCCCGACTTTAGGCAGGACTGCTGAAGCATACCTCTATGTACTTCTCCTCGTTGGGATAGGTGTCCACAAACACACCCAGGCCAGTGAAGTTGTCCATGTTTCCAAATACAGGACCTGGAGGCACATCAAAGTAAAGTGTTATAGAAATAGTGTGAGTTAAAGCTACATTGCATTATGTCTGATCATAATCACCTTTCTGCATGCGCTCCTTGGTATACCAAATGGCCAGACCGTCACCATTGAGGTTCTTCTTTCCTTGCCCATGAACCTTAAAGTGCACCTGCATCTCCCAGTCCTTTAAGTGGCATGGCTAAAAGACGGAGCAAAAGGTAAAGTGACATCAAACAGAAGAATATTAAAAGAAACCTTTAGTTTTGCTTTAATTTCTAAAGCAAATGTTGCTCTACATAGGAGAAATTTGTTATGCTAACATTAGAGCTAAGAGAGAGAGACTGACTGGTCTACTAGCATCAATCACGTAAAACAGTAAATCAATTATTAGAAATAGATTGTGCTACTCACAATGCGGCTCCATACTGCCCCCTGTCTGCTCTGCATGTCCGGTGTGAGTCGCACCTGGTCAGTGGTTACCATGGCATCCCCCATCAGCTCCCAGTGGGAGGAGCCTAAAGATCCCACACCTGCGACCGCAAACGATACAATCATTACTAAAGAGCTGACTACACCAAAGCAGGTCTCCTTAGTCAGCCAAAAAAAAGACAAAAAAAAGAAAGAGCTGGCACAATAACGACAGAGACAAAACAGATTAAGAGAGAATAATAATAGTATGGTAACGCAGCAGTAAAGTATAACAGCTAAATCTAAGATGGGAAGCTGTATTCTGTCCGAAAAAGACTTCCGTACATGTTAAGCTGCGAGCGATACATTTTAACAAAGGTGTCGTTTATTTACTGAAAGCATCCTTCTGGAAACATCTGTCCTCCAGACTGTCCCCCACCCCTGCATCGCTTTTCCTGGACGGATGACATACCTTGGTAAGGCTTGGAGAGGGAAAACTCCCGCTTCAGGAACTCTTCCATTTCATGGTCATCGTCGGAAAAACACAGACTTACAAATAAAAGAAGGAAAGTAAAAATTAAATGCAGTTTGTACGGCATTATGTTCCATCTGGACATAACGTTCAGCTGTGATTTGGAGCGGCTGAGCTTGCTACTGTTAACGGCAGCCATGGTGGGTCAAAACTCACGTAACTCGAAGAACGCAAGCTTCGTCACTATTGGGCCACCGTGTTGTTGTTTGGCCCATTTTAATTGGTTAATATGATTGTCAGTCATAATACGTGATTATAATTGGTCGCATTATTTTACAAACAGAAATGAATAATTACAGTCTCCATCTACGAATCCTTGGAAACAAACAACTGTTTAAAAGTTTGCAATGGTAAATTTTCTGAATTGTGTACTTTCAGGCAATATAAAAATATCCATATTTTAAAGAAATATCTTTATGAAATTGATATTTAATTGTTGACAGGTATTCAAAAATAATAGATCAAACGGTATTAGAGAAACTAGCTTTATTTTACATTAAGCAATCCATTCTTTTAAACATTGGGAGTGTGAACTGCCCTTTATTTAGATTGCGGAAAATTCTAACTTTTCACTGCACTGGTAAAAGAAACATAAATTATCAAATAAATTTGTCAGTGAACACATCAATAAAACATTTAAGTAGTGCTTGTTAAATAAAATGCATGATGTTTAATAGACGAATTAACTAGATTAAGAGTATCAACAATCTGTTAGTACAGTTACAATGACGTTATTGACATCTTGGTTTTTCAGAAGGGCAGAATCATTATAGGTAAAAAATAAATGGCGGTTGTCAAGATGTTTGTTTCACATTAAACAAACAGCAGATCAAGTTCCATGACAACCTATTACAGCAACCTGAGTTTAGCACATAACTATCCACTGACAATATAAATTTGCACTGATACAATATAAGTTTCTAGGTATCACATATTACATGAGACCAACCCTGTCATAGAATTTATTGCCTTTATTTTCTGTATATGTATTTTACAACTCTGTTGACCTCTTTTCATGTCACATATAGGTTTGAATGGGAAGTCCAGCATGTTGTGTTCAAAGCACCTGCATGGTGCAGGGACTTCCTTGGTGAATCACAATCGGTGCACACCACCAGTGTTTCACTCTTTGCAGTATGCTTGCAACTTTGGCTATTTTGTACCCATTTTTTTTCCATTGACCAGGAATTTTTAGTTCATCCACAACTTGGTAAATTTATGTATTATATATGCAAGAAAATATAACTTCAATAAAGATAACAACAGACGGTCCCTTAGAGTTATTTTGGTTTGAGCAGGGGTCGTAATGTGTCATATTTCTAAGAGTCGGCAGGCCCAAATGGGGATCAGAAACAAAATAAGTGGAAATAGAGGTGTAAAGTTCTCAGACAGTATTTAATTACTTGTCATATTTGAACATTTTTATGACTTTCAATTTAACCATTATTGACAAAAAATACTGAACTAAAATGAAAATAAATGGTTGAAATTGTACATGCATACAAAATAGCTTGTTCATGTAGTGGAACTATGAAAGGAGGAAATAACAATGTACATGAACAAAATGAGCAAATGAATTATATTTGTTTTTAGTTATGACATTTATTAATAATGCCTTATTGATTCACTGATTTTATTAAATCGTGGCACTTTTGATGCTCCATATATTGGATTTTTGTTCTGTAACCTATTGTACTGCCAGTCGGATGCTGTGGGAAAGACCGCGCCCCCTTCACGACCCTGCTAGTTCGTCGGATCCCGTCACGCGTCGTGCATTTGTGGACATCATTCGGGGATGGAGTAGAGGGAAGTATGGGTCCAAGCGAAGAAAAAACGGTCGACATTTATCGTGACACATGGGTCCGCTTTTTAGGTATGTATTTGAAGTGACTTGCTGTGTAAGAAAACAGAGCACATAAGGACACCGTAACTGTCGGAACACCGTAGCTTTTAGCAGAGTTAGCATAGTTGGCTACCCGCTCTTTTAAAGCTATATTTGTAGCAAACCTGGCGTCTGAAGGATAGTTTGTTACCAGAGGACACAAAGTGTGTCTTACATTGTTCAGAAAATTGTCTCTGATGTTGTAAAACGAAACGAATGGCTGAATATTTAGGCTCGAATAGTCTTTTTAGCTCTGTATTAAGGCGTTCTGCACAGTCGTTCAGCAAGTTTAGGCAGTGACTCATAACTACAAAGAAGGAACATTATACTTCCTCTGAGTCGAATTGAGACTCCCGTCTGATTGTTCTGCAGATAGAATTCAGCATCAGTACAGTGACTTTTGTCTCTGTTAGTACTGTAAACATTTAAAGTAAAGGGCATGAGCAGTATCCGGTCTGAAGGGCATTTTATGCATCTACTGCAGCAGTTCCTCCCTCTTACTGGGGGGCAGTATCAATGTACTGACATGGAAATCTGTTCATCCCCCTTATAAAATCATAATCTGCTAGCTTTCAGCTCTAATCCTGTCTGTTAAGGAATTATCTCCATGTCTATATTTAGGATTGTGCACACAGAAATCTGGAAATATTTGCACATTTTTTCGAACATTGTTGTGTTATACAAATCAAGACTTGTAGTTGTTTGTATGACTTTCAGTTTTTTGGTTTGTTTGCGTAAAAATAAGGGAAAAATCATTAACCAAATGTGATTTGAATTATAACTATGTACTTGCATGTCTCTTAACTTACGTTTGTACATCTTTGACCTGCATATCAAATACAAATATTGCTGACATGTTTATGTATCACAAATAGACTGTGGGTGTTCAGTTGTTCTGTGAGTATGTAATACTAACATCTCTAGGCATTTCCATTTCCTGGTTTAAAAAAAAAAAACTCATAGAAAACTCAGTTATGTCATCAAGTGTTGGGTGTCCAGATCTAAAAACAGACGCTTGGGTTGCAGAAACAAGACTATTCTTACATCTGGAGAACACAACAAGGTTAAACTCCTAACTGCATCTATTTTTGTATTCCCCCAGGCTATGCCAATGAAGTCGGGGAGGCCTTCCGTGCGCTGGTGCCAGTGAGCTTTGTTTGGGGCAGCTATGCTGTGGCCACTGCTTATGTTACCGCAGATGCAGTGGACAAAGGCAAAAAAGCAGCTGTGGTAAGACATTACCCTTTATTTATTGTATTTTCATTAAGAAAATTTGGTAATAGCTAGGCCTGTCACAATAAGAAAACATGCTGGACGATAAATTGTCCCAGAAATCATTGAGAAAAATTATAATATTGACATTTTGAGACATTTAGAACACTCCACACTTTAATGGAGTAATATTTTAAATATCAAAAATAAAACGCAACCAAAAACAATACATAAAAGGAAATTCAAACCACACACAACCAAAATGGATTTCAAGTCCCTGTAAACAAAATTGTCCTTCAAAAATGTTAATAATCAGCACTGATTAACTGCTTATTGCTACAGGCTTAGTAATGACATTTAAATTATTAATTTGTAGGTAAGAAAATCAGCTTCTATTTCCACAGTTTACAAATCTGGTCAGAGTAAAATAACTATTGCTTTCCATGCCTTTAAATTAGACACATGAACTACAGCCTCAATAATAATAATAATACAATCATCACTTAAAATATATTGTGGAGCGTGCAATTTCAGTTTTATTACACTTAAAAAAAACAGGTAAATGTGATTTTCTGTTTATGTAAGTTTAAAGCAGGAAACAAGGATACAATGCACCACCAGATAATAAAAAAAAACAAAAAACACTCCAGTTATTATGTCCACCCACTGAGTCTCTATGCTTCCTCCTCTGCTCCTCCATCTGTCCCTCCAGGCCCACGGAGACAATCCAGGGAAGACGACACGAGTGGCAGTAGCGGTCGTGGACACGTTTGTGTGGCAGGCCCTGGCCTCTGTGATCATCCCGGGCTTCACCATTAACCGGGTGTGCGCTGCGTCCCTGTATCTGCTGGGCAAGTCCACCAAGTGGCCTCTGCCTGTTCGCAAGTGGACCACCACAGCTATTGGGCTCTCCACCATCCCCTTCATCATCACTCCAATAGACAGGTTGGCAGACGACGTGTGTTTGTCCCGGTCGTATCTGGATCATGTGTAAATTGCAGTAAGACTTCACAGTTGAGGTTTTGACTTGTGATTAGTCATTTTAGCTGTTCTTGCTGCTACCTTGACAAATTAACCTTGACACATATTTTATTTTTAGCACACTGGCAAACCCCAGCAAGATGACGGCTACAGTGTAAAGCTGGGTTTACCGGGTAGCAACTCTTCACTGTCCTCCATGATTATATGCAGCCTTTTTGAGATGAATAACAAGAACCCTTGAAGTCAACTTTCAATGCAACAGAATCATCTCACAGCAAACATTTTTGAAAAATCAAACTTTAAGTCAGTGTAGGATTTATTTCTTCAGGGAGGATATAAAAAAAAATCTGAATCAAGAATATGCTGTTTTTACCAGCAGCAACATTATTGGTACTTTTAGAAAATCCTAAATGTAAACGTCACATGTAGTGGAGAAAAGTTAGGTGATATCCAAATGAGACTTTCCCCAACATACGGAACAAAGTGATGCATTTAAAAAATATATTTTTTGTTATTTTTTTAAATGAATATTTAATTAATACATCTACTTTAATTATGCATATTTTATATAATTAATATTTTTGGTGTACTGTAATCAAATTTTTAAATCTGAAAACAGTCAAAAAATTTTAATTCCTTAACCTTTGAGCCACTTTGAGTCTCAGTTTACCATCTCAGTTTGTGTCGTAAGTTTAAGTTCAACATGATGCATTATTTATCACATGTTCTACTCTGTGCACACTGTAGGTCAGTGGATTTCCTGCTGGACTCGAGCCTTAGGAAGGTCTACAACGATGGAAAGAAGCACGAATAAAGAGGATCATGCAGACTGGAAGCACACCAGTCTGCAAACTTGCACCAATTATGCAGACACTCTGGAAAGCAACCATGTCATGGTGGAAGATTTCAAACTCGCTTAGTGATATAACTGTATTACCATAATTTTTATGACGGAGCCGGATATTTATGTATAAGGTCAGGTGATTTAAAGGGAAATCCTGCTCCAGAGTAGGCTCAGTTTTAACCTCAGGGCAGTGTGGGTTGTATTACCAAAAATAAATCTTAATGAGAATGTAGTAATATAGAAATAATACTACATCTTCACTTTACCTGCTTGTTTAGCTTAGGTATAATAACAAATTTCTATAAGACAAGGAAAACTTCAAATGTTGCCATCTTTCAAAAGAGAACTGATATTTTTTACTGTAGCTTGTGAAGCAGCACTTAATAACTAAACATCAAGGTGCATTTGTATCAGTGAACTCTTGGTGTGTTATAATTAGCCATATTCAAAGGCACTGTAGTACAATGGTAGGTCAATGAGCCAGGTCACTGTCAAAGTTTTTCCTTTGCTTCTTTTTGAAGATAAAGGTTTCTGTTACTGAAAAAAAAAACTGCAGCACTTAAGAGATGTTACTTGGTTCACTTTTTCAATCTTTTTTTTTCTTTTAAGGTTAATGAGCTTTCACTGATAGCCTTCTTTACACAGTAGTTCCAGCTTCTTTGATTCTATGCACTATAAAATCAGTTTACATTTAGAAATGGCAATTTTAGATCATGTAATACCGTATACAGTACTGAGTTTTATATCTACTGTAGGTATACTCTGCCTGAGCCAATGAAAAAGCAAAACTGTGCAATTTGACTTTACCTCCAAAGGCTGGGCATTGAAATCACATTTAGTTTTTCAGTTCACAGATTAGGTACGTCACACATTAGGTAATAGTGATCTCTGAATAGATATTAGGAATGAATAACACATTTTAAGATACCGTTTGTCAAAATTGTGAAACTTTAAGTCAGATGCTGCAATTCATAATGAGCTATGCAAGGGAAACATTGTGCGTACAGATGAGTTTAAAATTGCGAGAATTGTTTCCTGCATTTAAAAAATATCCTCAATTTACAAATATTTAGAAATTAAGAAGGAAAATCTGATAACAAGAACTGCAGGCATCTGAGAACGCTACTCCAGGCCATCTGTTTAAAGGGGCAGTATTATGTAAAATTGACTTTTTTGAGCTTTATATTGTGTTCTAATGTTATTCCCTCATCAAAATCATACCTGGAGTGTTGCTTTGATTCTTTCATTTACGTTTGAGCCATCCTCGAATCTCCAACAGCAGCCAATCAGGTGTGCAAAACGCTTCCACGCAGCTCCTCCTTGCAGCTGCGGTTTCCACCTCAGAGCACCCGTTCCCTCTCATTCCCCCACTCAGTCCCTCCAGACTAGTCAGCAGCAATTAGCAAACACCTAATGGAACTGCACATCTGCTGAGCTCATCATAGGAGCTACTTCTCAGTGCACCGTTCCTAAGATCGACATTAAAGGCTTAACGAAAAAACATTGTGGTGACTTCCTGAAGGCAGAGGATCAGAAAGAGCAGGAGTTTCTTAAAGACACAGAGGCCCAATTTCAAGGTGTTAAATTGCAAAGTCAAATTTCTTTTGAGTCATGTNTGGTNTATATAGCATTTTTATAACTGAAGGTAACATATTTACTATACTTAATTGTGCTATAAATTGACACTATACCCACAATGTACATTGTACTGCCCCTTTAATATGTTGCCTCTTGTTTTTCATTTCCGTTTATTTGTGGTTAGCAAAAACTTTGCTACAAGTTTGGGTGTCGACATCAGCAATTAGCACAACTTTGTCGTGGGACGACTTGACAGCATAAATGTCTTTACCGTGCCGATTGTTTTACACATTTAAGCACACATTGTGTTCTTTATGCATAAGTATGTTTGCCAGACATTTTAATTCATCAAAGCAGGAAAACTAGAGGTCCAAGTCCAAATGCAGTAAATTCAAACTGAGCCACAATATTTGATATATTTTTATTTGACCTTTCCTGATATGATGTTAAAATGTCTGCCACTAACAAAAAGAGATGACCTGCCTTGCAACACATCGATATTCACATGACATTTTAACATTTCTGATTTTAAAAGGTTTTAGAAATTGTATTTTAGAAATTTTTACTTTTTGATCAATGTGACCTTGAGTCACATTTTTAGCCTTAGCTGAAAAGAAATGTACAGTTTGTTTCATTGCTGTTGTTCACATTGTGGGGACACAGATCTGACATACAAAGTTAAATTCATTTGTATGATGAACATGTGCAATCTTCATATTCTGTTGTTTTTGGGCTGTGGGGAAATAAAATATGGACTGACTGAAATATCCCAGCCTGGGGTCTTTCTGCATGGAGTTTGCATGTTTTCTCTGTGGCTGTGTTCTCTCTGGGTACTTCCATCCACAGTCCATGAACGTGACTGGTGGTTATGGTTTTGAATTCTCTAATTCACCCTTGGTGTGTGTGGCTCTGTGGTGGACTGGCAACCTGTCCAGGCCTCTTGCTCAAAAACTGCTAGAGATAGGCACCAGTCCCCCACTCTGCAACACTGCAAGGATGAGTAGTAATAGCCAATGGATGTCTGGATGGATACTTATTTAACACTGCATTCAAGTCAATGGACAGGACTGCAGTTTATAGTCAGCTTGAAGATTTCTAATCATGATTCTTGTGTGCAAATTCATCACAGTCAGTATTATCATTGTTGTGTAGCCACAGCTACATTTTAAACTATTTCTTGGTATAATGCACAAAATAACAGTAAGCCATCCAGAAAAAATATTTAGGGTTTATTATTAAATATTTGATTAATGATTTGATCAGGATTTAAATTTTAAGATATAAATCCGCATATGTCTGAACACATTCATTTACTAGTTTTGAGTTATGACCTGCACATACATACCTATCACCTGTCATCTGTAGGCCAATGAAATGGGGCTTTTCAAAGAAGTAGAAAACCAGCTGACCCAGGAGCCGAGGTTATTGGTCCTCATTGAGCCAGAGCACAGCTGATTCCACTTGTGCTGACACAGAGTGCAAATAAAAGGCAAAGGAAATTGCCAAGGGTTTCAGTGCAGTCATGTTCATGGTCTATTTTGTGCTTGTGGCCCATTTGGCCATGTCAACTGTTCTGGCAGGTAAGAAGGTGACATTGTTTTGTAGCTAGTTAGTCAGTGACTGACTTCTGCATTATGCTTTCATGCTTGTGCTATCTTGCCCAGGCTCTCTTGTCTTTGTTAATGGACGCTGGATAACTCAGTTGGATAATGAAGAGTATTACAATGTGATGGACGGTACTGCTACACCAGATGAAAGTGTGTTGCCTGACAACTCCTCAGAAGAAGATGGACTGTTGCCGCTTGAAATCTTCAATTTGCAAACGACTCCAGAATCTTCTCTGCTGTTGGGTGAAGGTGGCTGCTTTTTTGCTAAAAGTCGCATATCTCAGCTTTGAGGACATCTTGGCATAACTCTTGTTTGTCTCCCTCAGATTCTAATGAAGTTCATGACTCCAGAGTGTGGAAGACTGTTGTTGTAACAGCTGTATTGCTGGTGTCTCTTGTGGGATGCCTGGGCACAGCTTATTACTTTTGCATCTGGAGAGGAGGCAGGATTCATTATATGCCTCAGAAGACCTATGCCTAAATATAAAATAAAGCCTCTTATGGTTCAAATTTTTACATTTTCAGTCTCATTTAACTTGAGTCTTTATTTAATGTGTATTTCTCCTTGCACTAGCAGTATAACTTCTATGAAACTTTAAACTCGTTGCACAGTGGGAGGAGAAGACGCACTGCCTTCCAGTGGCATCAGAGCCAGGAGGAGGGTGTTGGTGCTGTCATCTTCATGTTGTTGCCCATATACCCTCTCTCGCCTATTGGGAGTGCGAGGCCAGCTGTGGCCACAGATAACTGAGGCTAAACTTTTTCCTGCAACTGTTTCTCTGTCGGTAGCAGAGTGGGTTACATGGCCGTTTAGCTTTGAACACCAGAAATTTTGAGTCTGCTTAAATTTATTGGCTAATAAATCCCTGTAAATATTTGTCCTTAGTCAATGTATACATTTACAAAGAAACTCTCAAAGTACAATTTTTTGTTTTCTTGCCTATCAGAGACATGACATCAAAAAGCCACTAGATGTCAGTATTGACACTTATTGTGCCATCTGTGCACGCTGGATGGGTACACTGATCCTGCCTTTGGTCACTTATTTTTGATCAAAGTACAATATTTAAAATTTACTTGAAGCATTTGACGAATTTCTGCAATTTTTTTTCCCCCCCATAATTTATTGACATTCACTAACCAACAGTCAAGCTCAACTTTTAGCCTCGGATGACCGTAATACCTGAAGGCTCTGTACCTTTCTCTGTCACAATGATTTAAATGTTTCCCTTCAGTTATTAAATGCAACTCCCATAAATTCTTCAGCGAGTCTGTATTTTCTCTTATAACCATCAATCCCTCCTCTGCTTTTCTTTTAGTCTTCGCTTTAACGTCTTGTTGGATGCCTCTGGCAAGCGTTTTGGACTTCATACAAATTCATCTCGATCAGAGTTATGGCAGAAGTGGCTGTCAGGCTGTTGGCGAAAACCAGTGTACTGCTAAGAGTAGAGAGTAATGTTTTAATTCAGTGTCAGGCAAGTGAGCACAGATCAAACCCACAAACATTTATAAGTCCTCCTTGAGCAATATCAGGTGGCATTAGGGGGCCCAAGGAGACAAAAAGCTGATGAATTAATCTCCCTTGCTGTGATGGATGAGCCTGTTCACAGGGGGTTGGAAAACGCCAGCATTGTTCATCTGTCACTCCAATTGCCATGTCCCTCTATGATTTGTGCCTGTGTTGTGAAGGCCACAAGTGGCCAAAAGACCTCCCTTTCTCCTTCTCACTTGTCTCCCCCCTTTCTTTCTTTTTCTCAAAACTCCTCAGCTGCTCATTTGCACCCTCACAACTGACCCTAATATCCATATGCAAAACTAGTCTTTTCATTTCCAATAAGCTATGATAAATATCAATCACACTGAGCAGATTTTATGGCATGGCTGGACGGGAGATAAGAATTTGTTGCATTTTCAGAATGTTGCTGACCAGCACAAGATGCAAGAATGTACAAGTTTAAAAGTTGTTCGGACTTTTCAGAACAGCGCAGCAAAGCCACTGATGTGCAGATGTTTGATTATATCACAATTATCACTTCAAAACAAAGTCATCATTGTACACCATCAATTGGGAAAGCAATCTTTAAAAGAGCAGAAAATATAAGTACAATCCCGGATTTACCAGGTTATATGACGCACTAACATGAAGTCATAGAAAAGACACATGGTTTAGATTTGTGTTTTTTTTTTAATTCACTGTGTTTTTATATTTTCCAAGGCATATAAATATTTAATCTAAGTACCATATTTTAAGGACTATAAGCCGCTACTTTTTTTTCCTATGCTTTGAACCATGCGACTTATACCCCAGTGTGACTTTTCTGTGAATTTTTCTTCAACCACCAGGGAGCGCTTTAGCAGGAAGTGAATCATTGGAAGTCAAAATTGTAAATCAAAGAAGAAAGTGCTAATTTTCATCGATTCTAGAACAAGCACATGCTAGCAGCAGGCACGACAGAGAAATGTCTTCCCCTAATCATGGAAACAATACCAAGAAGTTTATATGATGGAGTTGAGGGCTAAAGATCTGGCAGTACAGGAGGGAAATAGAGCCGCTGCACGTAAACTCGGCATGAACGAATCCAAGGTTCGGCGTTGGAGAAACCGAGAGTGGCCGAGATAGCAGCGGCTTATAGCCCATTACATTTCCAGTTTTTTTCCCTTTTTTTTTTTTAACTTTGTAGATGCAGCTTATAGTGAGGTGAGCTCTACAGTCCGGAAAATACGGTATTTTAGCTCATCATTCCTCTTCGTTGTGATGCACACTCAAAGCAGTTTTATGTATTCTAATCTGCTTTAGTGATATGGTTTATTGTTGTTGATTTTGAAAGGATCTTGTTTTTTTTTAATAGAATCGTTGTTTTCTTGGGTTTATTTAGGGCTCCTGGAAAAATAATGAATTGCACTACATTTTATGCTATCTGCCAATTTTTATAGCTAATGTGTAGTTATGGTTGTTTTCTTTATAAACTTCAGGCACACTCCCTTATTCTTTTGTTCTTAGTTTTCCTTTCAAAGGAAGCTGTCCTGCTTAAGGCTAACAAGTGATTCAATGGAGAATCCATTTTCTTCAGTGCTTGTGTGCCAAGAGTTGATTACAAATTCAGATCTAATCATTTATCAGATAACCTGCTGCTAGAGCAAGAAAAAAAAAAAAAAAAAAAAACACAAAAAAAACAAAAAAAAAAAACAATACCTGCGGGAAAATTTAAGAAAATAAAAA